AACTGAACCGACCCACCGATCCCCCTCCCTCTCATCGACCGGGCCCGGCGGGCCCCACTCCCCCCCCCCGCCACTGGGGTCGGGAGTGGAGGGGGCCGCCTGCAACTTGCACACGCACACGCACCCCACTACCCACTACCCACTGTCTGGTCACGTCCATAAACCCATACGTCCTGGTCCGCACGTTCTTCAGGTAGCCCCTTCCTAAGCCGTCTCCAGCTGTGCTCTGTTCCTCTCCTTGCTTTCTAAATCATACCTGCGAACAACCCCCCTCTCTCCACCCTTCCCACTCGCTCATGCACTCACTCACTCACTGCCTGGCAAGTTCTTCGTCCTTGTCTGTTGTCCATTCAGCTGGCTTTCGTTGGAAATTGGACTGCTCGCCTGCCCTTGACGTGCCTTGCCTTGACCGTATGTTCTCTCCCTCTCCGTCTCTCTCTCTCTCTCTCTCTCTCTCTCTCGCTCTCCTACTCTCTCCCTCTCTCACTCTCTCTGTCTCTCCTCCCACCCCCTTCCAACTCTGACTCCTAGCAAACAACCTTTCACACATGCCAACCTAATACCAGGTCCACCTTCCTGCCTGCCTACCTGTCTGACTGTCTGTGCCTGCCAGGTTTTGCTCCTAAAGTCAGCGTTGGTCGGATATAGCCAGGTGGTAAAGGTAACCTGGCGGGCCCCTCCGTACCTGCCTGCCCTTGCTTGCGTACGGTACCTTGCTACTTAGGCCGACTCCTCTTTCCCCGATTACTTCTTGCGCGCCGTCCCTCCTTCCGCCGTCCCATCCCGCAGGAGCACCCTACCCTGCCGCCACTTTCCCTTGACGGCCACCCAAAGCAGCACCAGTCAGCGCCAGCGGTCGCCCGCACCGTAACCAGCACTTGGTACCCGTACCAGTCAGTACCCGTACCAGTACCCGTACCAGCACCAGCACCAGTACCAGCACCCCGTCCCAGCGCCAGCAGCACTGGAACCAGTAAAAGGAGGGACGCACGTACCGCCCCGCCAGCACCTTCCTGCCGCACCCACCGCTGCTGCCACTTGTACTGGCACCTGCCCTCTAGCACTCGAGCTCGAGGGTCTTAACCTTGCCTTGCCTCGCATCTCACCTCACCTTCCATCACCGCCTCTTTTCTCCCCTCCACACCACGACCTCCGCCCACCCGCCGCCGCCTTTGCACATCCACACGTCGTCAGCGTCAGAACCGCGACTTGAATTTCGACGACGACCATTTGGGTTTCCCTTGTCGGCCCCCAAACCCTCGACTTCGCCTTCAACCCCGGACAGACCCACGAGCCCGTGCTCGCTGTCCTCCGCATTCCTTGGATTCTGGCCGCCACGAGTCTGGAAACCCAGGGTTGCCGCATTGCAGACCCTCCTTTCACTCTTGTCTCAACCACCAATTTCCCACATTCCCCCGATCCTTGATTCTACCACATCTGACCATCGTGTGCGCCGCCGCCGCCGACGCCGCCGCCGCCGCTTCACCTCGGACCGCTCCGAAAGCACCTGCTGCTTTCTTCCTCTGTCCCTCACCCTCCTCCTCTCACTTATTTTTGTTTTGGGGCGCCTGTCGCACTGCGCGCGTTGAGGTTGCGCGAGCCTCTCGGACGGACCACTGCTTCCTTGCAAACTATCGTCAGCTTCGGCATGCCCTTTCATGCCCTTGCATAATTAGCATTTTCCGCCCTTGAACCAAGAACATCGCCGCCTGCAAGTCGACAGATGCGCCTGCGATCCGCGCACATCTCATTGACATCGCATCCCTCATCCACCATCATCACTGCCGTCCTCCGTTACCATCATCACTATCACTACCACCGCAGTTCCTACTATTTCCAGTCACAGCAACAGTAGCAACAGAAACAGCAACGGCATCAGCATCAGCGATCCTTGGACCCCTTCAGCGTAAGGAAACTCGATCCTCACTTTCGTACGAGGCGACGCGCCGGCCAGCCCCCCCACGCGCTGGCTCCTCCTTGGCACTTGTATCCAGAGCATGGCAGAGGAGCACGGAGGACGAGGGCAGCCTTCACACCACAGAGAAGACCCTTCATTTGCGCGCGACGACGAGGCCCGCCAGAGGCTCCACCACGCAGGACCACTGCCACCTTCTGCTGACCAGCGGTATCCCGACGACGCTCGATCCAGACCAGCCATGGCTGCTCCCTTGACTTTGCCAGCCATCCAGGACCATTATGGCCAGCAGCCACCCTACCAGAGAGGTTATCCGCCACAGGACCCGCGTGGCGACCCCAGAGGCGACCCAAGAGGCGACCCAAGAGGCGACCCAAGAGGCGATCCTCGTGGTGACCCTCGCGCAGACTCTCGAGCCGGCAATTACGATGCCTCGCCGAGCTCCGTGAACGGCTATCCTCCGCCACGCCCACCTCCAGGACCAGGAGCCCACCCAGCCCAACTCCCACCGCTTCAGCCTCCTGGTCCTCGGTCTCCCACCTACCCTCCTTCGGAACCGAGAGAGGATTATTACCGCGACCGCCAGCCCCCGCCGCCTCACTACGCCGATCCGTACCACCAAGACTACCACCGCGGAGGGCCTCCCCCGCCTCCTGGAGCACGGTATCCCGAGTACGGCCCCCCGCAGCCTGGCCAGGGCATGCCTAGGTATGAATACGGTCATCCTGCAGCGGGCGGGCCTCGATGGGACTATCCCCCGGGTGCCGTGGCACTTCCCCAGGCTGCACCAAGACAGCGGACGTCCATTGCTTGCAGATACTGCCGGAAGAGAAAGGTATGTGCGCTCCAAAACGGCTGTCGAATCAACCTCGATTCCTGGCCGTAGCAGGCCCCTGGTTCTCCTACTTACCTTTGGTGTCCAGATTCGTTGCAGTGGTTATCAGAGCGCGCCGGGAGGCAAATGCGTGAACTGCAGCAGGATGAACCAGGAGTGCATCTTCCAACCTGTGTCCTCTAGCAGCTCAACAGCGTTCATTCCCGTTTCCGCCGTGCCAGGCGGAGTTCCACCTGGCACGACGCTCTACGGGGCGTATGGCCAACCCCTTCCGCCGAGCTCGATGCCGCCTCACCAACATCCCCAGCAGCCGTACCCTCCTGGCCCCGGCGGCAACGGCTATTATCCGCAACCTTTGGCTTCTCCAACGACTTCGTATCCACCGTACGACCCGCATCGCGGGCCCAATAGGCGTCGGCCGCGAGAGTCAGATGAAGGGGACGAATTACGACCACCACCGCCAGATCCAGCCGCCGGCGATGATCCTCGACGGAGATCTCCTGCAGCGTCCGACTCGAACCACAGCAGCCCGGGGAGCTACATGCCCTATCCTCCGGGCCACGGCGGATCATTCGACCCCAGAGGCCCACCCGCTCGTCAAAGTCCTGGGCAGTCGTCTCTGGCTCCTTTGTCAACGTCTGGTGATGATCGCAGCGCCACCTCGGGTCAACGTCACAGCAATTCGTCAACCCCCGCTGCCTCTTCCAGTTCTGTCATGAGCTTGAACAATCTGATGGACAACCCATCGGATATCGACAGAAACATGCTTGGGCGACTCAACCGCGCCCCCGGGTCTGGTCGAGGCCGCTGATGGACAACTGGCACGCACGGTCGGCGGGTTTTGGATCCGTCCCGCAGCATACAAGTAGACGGACTGGACGAGCATTTACTCGGACCACTCCGTTGACATGTATGCGAAGAAGAAAAGGTCTGCTGGTCAGGCACGCACCTCCTTCGGTTCGAACAGTACAGTCAAGATCACCAGTTTTTCTGCAGTCTTCTCTTTCATTTGCATTTATTTTATTTGGTAGTAGGGCCCGCGCAGCATCGATGCGGCAGGAGGGGAGGTATTATTTGACTTCGGTTCGGTGGAGGTGCGCGTCCCTTGTTTTCTCTGTCTTATTTCTTATTGTCTGTGTCCCCGGGCACAACAGTGTGGAGGGGTTAACGGAGGCACAAAATCGGGTCTGTGGCTTCGACAGGAGCGAATGAATGTGCTCTCGGAGCCGTTCTGTCCCATATTTCGACTTGTCTTAAAAGGTCAGCACGGTTTCGCAGGAGGTTTGTTTTTGCCTTGATAGAGCTGTCATGTTTCTCCCCCGCTGCTCGGAGTTGCCAGGGTGTTGTCGGCTGGGCTTGGTTCTGCGCAGTGGCTCTTTTTTGCATTGCTATTCTCGCAGTCATTTCCCCAAGGGGACGGATGGGTTAAGATTGGCCTGCCTCACGGCAAATGTCTTGTTTGTTGCGAATGGATTACACGTTTTGCTTCTTCGCGATTTTTCGTCCGTTTTTGTTGTCGTTGACGTCGTCGTCTTCGGGCTTGTCTTTGTGAGCGAACATTGGGGCTACGCGTGTGCAGAGACAAGGCAGGAAGGCAGCTGTGCCGAAGACCAGTCCTTGCTGGGACTGGACTAGAGCCCGGCGCGTGTAGGAGGAAATGGGAGGAAAGGGATGGGCTGTCGATAGTCTTGAAAATGGAAGTTGAAGCTGTTTCCCAAGTACGTCCTTGTCACACCAAAACAGCCGGGCCGCCGCAGATTACGTGGCGCTGGATCTACAAGAACCGGCTCTCGTTGACATCTACACGCACGGCACGTACCTTGGAGCTTTCCCCACTCTGTCCTGGCTGCTGGTGGCAGCAGTATGACCCCCCGTG